TCATCATGGGCTCCAAGGTATGTCCAGGGCAGGCGTTGTAAATTATTTCCTCCCAATGGGGAGCAGGGATAAAATTCTTTCTGAATTCTGCACATCATATTCACCTTCAAATCACGTGTGCCTTTTCTTTCTGATTCAGCATTATAACTATTCTTTATGATGGACGGCTGGATGAGAGGAAAGCAATGAAGGAAGAATTGTCAGGGGAGGGGAAATTTAATGTTCTGATTACACACTATGATCTTATAATGAGAGATAAAGCATTTCTTAAGAAAATTCAATGGTACTACTTGATTGTGGATGAAGGGCATCGGTTGAAGAATCACGAGTCTGCTCTGGCAAGAACCTTGGACTCTGGGTATGATTCTACATGACCGATATTTGTGACATTGTGATTAATATGCTTACTTCCCTAAATTCTTGGTTATGATATCCTTCTATTTTATTTAGAAAAATGCTAAACAGCCTGACAGCTTTACTCAACTAAAGATAAAGATAAGATGAAAGCTAAGTGGGATAACTTTCAAAACCGTGCATGGCACAGTCATAGTATTCAACAGTCAACACAATTCATTACCTGACAGTGTAGTACCACCCTTCAGGTGGTTTAGTTTAATTCCTCTCTTCCCTAATTTTTAAATTTATTCTGTGCAGCTATCACATCAAACGCAGACTTCTATTGACCGGTACCCCTATTCAGAACAGTTTGCAGGAATTGTGGTCCCTGCTTAATTTTCTCCTTCCAAACATATTCAACTCTGTTCAGAATTTCGAGGACTGGTTTAATGCCCCCTTTGCAGACCGGGTTGATGTCTCTCTATCAGATGAAGAACAGCTATTGATCATTCGGCGTCTACATCAAGTGTGTTTCTCTCTATTTGTTTCAAATTCTCTTGCTTTTTTCAACTTCTTTCTGATGCGCTTCATTCACTCTTAGGTAATAAGGCCCTTTATATTAAGAAGGAAAAAGGATGAGGTAGAAAAATTTCTTCCTGGGAAATCTCAGGTCATACTAAAATGTGATATGTCAGCCTGGCAGAAAGTGTATTATCATCAAGTTACTGACGTAGGCAGAGTTGGCTTGGACAATGGTCTGTATCTATTTCTTGTTTTCCAATTAAAATGCTGTTTCCCCCCCCCCCCCAAGTACTTCAGTTTGAATATTTTTATGCAACTTGTTGGTTGGTTCTCAGAACCCGTGAATTTAGTTGTATTTTCATTATGCTTATGAATCATTTTAGTCCATCTTTTGGGAAGTAAGCCATATATATATATATATATATATATATATATATATATATATTTACTAGTTGCAACTTTGTTACGAATTGGTGAAATATGGTTGTTTGTTAGTTCAACATATATGTGTTTTGCAATCGCCTGTTGTTGGTGTCTTCCTTTTACTCAAAAAATATTCCCACCCCTGTAACATTAGTTGAGTTTTAGGTCCTTGTATGCTTACCTGATTTCTTAGAAATTGCCTTAGGAACTTTTTACTGAATATAGATCAATTTGTAGGTTCTGGAAAATCAAAAAGTCTACAGAACTTAACAATGCAACTCAGAAAGTGTTGTAATCATCCCTACCTCTTCGTGGGAGAATATGATATGTATAAACGTAAGGAGGAGATTGTTCGAGCATCAGGTAAATTTGAACTTCTTGACCGTTTGCTTCCCAAACTTCGCAGAGCTGGCCACAGAGTCCTGCTTTTCTCACAAATGACGAGACTCATGGACGTTCTCGAAATTTATTTACGACTTCATGATTATAAGTATCTTAGACTTGATGGCTCAACAAAAACTGAGGAAAGAGGCACTCTACTACGGAAATTTAATGCTCCTGACTCCCCATACTTTATGTTTCTCTTGAGCACCCGTGCTGGAGGTCTTGGTTTGAACTTACAAACAGCAGATACTGTTATAATCTTTGACAGCGATTGGAACCCTCAAATGGATCAACAAGCTGAAGACCGAGCACATCGCATTGGACAAAAAAAGGAAGTTAGGGTTTTTGTGTTGGTTAGTGTGGGTTCAATTGAAGAGGTAATTTTAGATCGTGCAAAACAAAAGATGGGCATTGATGCCAAAGTCATCCAGGCAGGACTTTTCAATACAACTTCAACAGGTTTGTAGTTTTTGATCCTTGTGCTATGTCCTGGGAATATCTATCAAAGTTATTTTTTGGATAAAGGTGGATAGGATCTCTTTTGCATGTTGAAACAGAAAGGGGGAGGCGAGGTTTTTTTTACTTTTATTTTTTGACGCAAATCGAGGCTTTTTTTAAACTTCCTCTAACAACTCTTCACATATATAGAATGCATTTATGTGCCAAACTGCTATTAGAGCTATAAACAAAATATACAAGGTATTATTCATGACATGCTGATGCTTGAAGCAAATTCTTAATCATATAGATAAGTTGTCATTAATCTTATGTTCTGTTTATTCGAGAATCCTATTCCATTGCATTTCAAAGTTAGAACATTTAAAATTTTAATTGAACTCTAAATTATTCCATGCCACCGTGTCTGTCCACAATGTCCGTGCTCCTTAGGTCATATTGCTAAAACGATGAAGACCATTTGAATATGTGGAATTTTTATTTGTGCAGCCCAAGACAGAAGAGAAATGTTGGAGGAGATTATGCGTAGGGGTACAAGCTCACTTGGGACAGATGTGCCCAGTGAGAGAGAAATTAACCGCCTTGCTGCTCGAACAGAGGAGGAATTCTGGCTGTTTGAGAAAATGGATGAAGAGAGAAGGCAAAAGGAAAATTACAGATCTCGTCTCATGGAAGAGCATGAATTGCCAGATTGGGTGTACTCTCCACTTAATAAGGATGATAAGGTGAAAGATTTCAATGGTAGTGTTACTGGAAAGCGGAAAAGAAAAGAAGTGGTATATGCAGATACATTAAGTGATCTACAATGGATGAAGGCTGTGGAGAATGGGGAAGACATGTCAAAGCTTCGAGTTAAAAGGAAAAGAAGAGACCACCTCTCATCTGACAGCATTACACAAGCCACTGATAATGCGGTGGTAGAAGAAAGTTTATTAGAGTTGAGAACTGAAAGTGTCCCCATGGAAAATGAGAGAACTAGTGAAGAAGATAGGTTCCATGTGACCCCTGCCTCAAAGAGATTCACGCCTGAAGGAACAAATTCCCAGAAACATGCATACGAGAATGTCAGAGGAAGTGGATTGAACCAGCATGTGTTGTCGTGGAATACTCACAGAAAGAAGAGATCAAGCTATCTTGGCCAGGGTTCATTATCTGATTCTAGAGGGCATGCTTCAAATGGAAGAGCAAACTGGAACTGATCTGAGTTTAAATTATTTAATCATGGCTACCAAAAATGATAAGCAACTTCTTGTATTATGTAGCAGATTGTTCTTCAAGCATGCAATATCCATATTAACTTGAAAAAGTTAACAAGAGAAAATATTTAATTACAAATTATGAATAAATATAAGACAGCATGACTTTAGATTTTAATTTTAAGTTAGTTACTATAAAGAAAATCAAATTATTATATACTTATACGTCGTCATAATTGATCGTTGTAATTGCAAACTATCATAATTGATTGTCATAATTACAACTTACAAATAAACGCTGCTCCTTAATCAATTGGAAAATTTGATTTAAAAATGACATATTGAATTTTTTTTACTCAAAATATACGATTTATTATTTCCATAATGATCGATTTCAATACTGCATTTCTCTTTAGTTTTGATTTCTTAATTAATAAACCTGCTTTTGTCGTACATCGAATTAATTTTTAATTTGCAATTTTTCAGAAAATTTTAATTCTCTCGCTTTTAAATATTTGAAATATTTCTAGCAATGTTTACTTTTAAGTAATATCTCGTACTGAGTAAATATAGTTAAGGGAGTATGTTTTCTTAATCTTAATGAGTAGCACTGAATTCTCAATACATATGTTTTGAAAATTTATCCCTTGACCAGCTGTTTGATTATTATTATTATTACAATAAGGTTGAGTACGCAAACCTAATGCCATTACTTGAAATCTATTGAGTTTTTTTTTTTTTTTAATACAAGTGAGAATTAAACACACAATTTAATATAAACTACCAAATCTCTCATCATTCGACCAAACCTAGTGGTTACAAACTATTGACTTTCGTTTGTTCATAATTTGTCTCATTATTAACACAATATTTTAATGATGCTAATCTTTTGAATAATCAATAGAGAAATGATTTAAGCAAACAAGGTAATCTCATCACCTCACATAAACATAAAAAAATGAACAAATTTTAAGCTTATTAAATTTTTCCAAGCACTTATATCTCTTTAATAAAAGGTAAAAGGTTACTGAGATTCCCTTATAAACATACGGGTTTTATAGTTCTCCTGCAGTGGGAGATGAGAGCTGTTTCCTGCTGAGAGAAGTAAAGTGAGCCACACCAGTTTTGAAAAAAAAAAAAATAGCATGGCTCGCTTTTTGATCTGAGAGTGATAGGAGAACATTTTGCAGGAACATGAAAAATGATTTTGCCTAAACATATATATCATTTCTCTAAATTGAGAAGTGGTAAATGCACATATGAGAAACATATCCAAGACACTTTGTGAATAGTTTAGAATGGTAGGCAACGTCAAGACTGATTATTTATCTTTCAACCAACGTCATCAATGACAATTAACAATAATAATAATAATCAAGATGTGAGACTTGTCATGATTAAAAGAATGCTTGTTTATAAGAAGCATCAAGACAAGATGACAATGAAGACTGTTATCGACAACTGGATATTTTCTGGATATATTCTGTACGTTGTCACGTGAAGAAACCAGCCATGAAGACAAGACAACAGTTTTAGGCTTGTAATTTTCATAACAGTAGATTAATAATTTATATTGGTGCTCTTCATATTTGTTAAGAATTCAAGAAGGGAAAGATCCAATAGCTGTAAACAGCTATTATAATAACTCATCGAAGCAGAATCATATGTAAAAATAAAGCACAGTATCCATTACAAGAAACATTGAAAACAAGATTACCATACCTAGTCCAGACATTTCATACCCTCAATGATTGACTGTTGTCAACTGGTGCGTCTTAATAGTTACATAAACTGCTCGGAATAAAATGGTCTACACCCTCTACTATCGTCATAAGAGTAGCATGTGCAGAAGAATATGAAAATAGATTACAACTGCTCCAGTTCAATTAACTACAAGGTTCTTCATTTTGGATTCCAGTTCATCCTCACTGCTTTCATCAGATTTTTCATCATTGTCCCTTCCATCAGGGTCATTATTGTCTAACGGACCAAGCATGCCTGGAGAACTTTTAAATATATCTATCAACTCATCAATGCCTTCATTGGATATGAGGTTTCCATCAATGTTCAGAAATTTGAAATCAGCCTTTTGCACCACAGTCAAAGCCAAATGTTGAGCCCCAGCCCTTGTTATTTGGTTGCAACTTAGATCAATTTCCTTTAACTGGGCATGGCCTTTTAGACCATTACTTACCTGGATGGCACCTTCATCCTTGAGTTCATTCTCAGAGAGGTTCAACTTGGCAAGAAACTGCTTTGCTGCTAGGCAGGCTACTATTGTAGGAGCAGCATCAACTGTAATGTCATTTCCACTCATCTCAAAAACTTCAAGGTAAGGAGCTGATTCCTTAAGAGCATCGACTATAGCAATTGCAGCATCATCTTCCAAGTTCAGATAGCTCAGGTATATCTCTCTTAACTCTGCATGCTTTGTAAGAGCTTTACTCAGAGAAACCCCACCCTCTACACCCAACATGTTGTCTCGCAAATCGAGCTTCTTCAGATGGGTAAAATTCCCTAAAGCATCAGACAAGGCAACTCCACCTTCAGTGCATATCCTGGTGGAGGAACAACGAAAATCCTCCAATGAAGGAGAACACTTCACAACCTCAGCTATAGCTAGTGCCCCTTCATCTCCAGTCATGTTACTATGAAAATGAAGAACTTTGAGCTTCTCTGTGGAAGGAATCAACTCACAAACTGCTCTAGCAGCTTCCTCTGAGATTCCATCATTAATCAGATAAAGCTCCTCCAAGCATTTCTGTGATTTCAAGAGTGGTCCAAATGCTCTAACACCTTTCTCACCTAAAGCATTCTCAGAGAGATTTAAAGACTTCAAGACACAACCTTCTAGAGCAGTTGAGAATATATTCATGACATCAAGAGCTTCTGCTTCTGATCTTCCAGCAATAAAATCTGATAGATCTACGTCTTTCAATTGTTCCTTGAGGGAAATGAGAATGGGCTGGGCAACTTCCGCTGCTCCTATTCCAAAACTTCTGTTGCTGAAGCATATTTTAGTGAAAGAATTTCCTGGCTCCTTTAATGGCCTTAAAAGTTCCTGAGCCTCCTCGGCTTCAAGGAAGGCCCTTTGGCCTTTAGATATATCAAAAACAGATTCATGATGTGCACTGGTATTGTCAGATGTTATCAGTTCTTCGTTATCCTTTTGACTGTGTCCTCTTTTAAGAACATCTAGGAGTAGCTCACTACATTCTTTGGCATAAAGCTGGACTGCAGAACCTCCATCACCATCTGGCTCTTTCTCATGGTTTAGGTTTGCAGTGGCAAAAGCCACATCCTCTATTCTTTTTGCATTCTCTTCAGCCTCTTCCTGGTTCAAAGTTTCATACTTCTGCGTGAAAACAGATTTAGTCGTCAGATTGTTGGTCATCCTCTCCACAAGTGCCTGTCTAGTGTTCTGACTAGGAGGCCATAATTTGATTGAAAATGGTCTGTGCTGTGAATTAAGCTCCATAGCAATGAAACCTACAAGAACTGCTCGTGTAATCAGTTCCTATACATTTTAGGAGACAGAATAAGAGTAAAACTTAGTTTATGCAGATTTGTTAGAGAAAACAGATGCAAAACAACGGCATCCATAGATGTGTATCCCCAATCATGGCATCAGCTATTGTCAAAGAGAATAAAACATTTTCCAAGCCGTTGCACACAGAAGATGTCAAACTGAACACGCAGGTGAAGAAATAAACCATTTAAGTCAATTGTTAATGCCATCATTATAATAGGTCCCTCACTCCAAGTTTGACACTATTGAAGGTTAGTGTTAATAACAGAATACAAATTAGCAGAGAAGTTTTACTTGATTAAAAAAAGTTTTACAAAGCAGGTCAGGAAATAAGGAAGAGCAACAATAGAAACCCCATTCGAGAATTAATTGCTATAACAAACATCACATATAATTGCAATCATAAAGTAGGGCCTGATTCTTTCCATTTCAATCATAACCTGTGGCTGTTCTTGAAAAATAATAGGCTACATGAAACTAAGTAAAAATACAAAGTATGATGAAAAAAATAAAAGGGTTTATAAAAGCAACGTGGCAAAACAAGCCATGAATGAACGAGATTGTTTCCTCGGAAGAGAAGAGAACATCCACAAAATCGGAGACAGTAAATAACCAACAAACAACTTGGTTAACCCATCGTAACAAAATTCTTAGCTTTAAGATCAAAATGCAACAGATCTGAGACTACGCAAAGTTAAAAACTTTAAGCACAAATTTGAAGGCCATTAGAGAAAGAGCAATGAACTGTGACCCCGATAAACTGAAATAAAGAGAGACAAAGAAAGTGAAAAACGAAAACCCTAGAAATGAGGAAAGGGTACCTCTGTCGTTGATCTGAGAATTGGTACTCTGCTGCAGTGCACTCTGCAGTTCGAACAATCTTCAGTTTAAACTTCAAATGGTACAGTCGGGTGGCGTTAGAGGGATTAGTGACTGAGTGGAGGGAAAACCTTAATAAAATGATGCTAATGAAAAAAGATTAATAAATTATACGAAAATAAAATTGCTTGTTTTGAACGTATATATGGAAATGCAACAACGACATGCCATTGGTGCTAATTAGGCGTGTAAACGAGTGAGGTTAGGCTATTTGATTTTTATGGCTTAAACTTAACATGGCCTATATAAAAATAAAAATGAGAAAAGATAATGTAATAATCAAATTGTGTTATTATCAAGTTACTATCAATTAATCTCACCGTTAGATCAAGTATATTGATCCAACGGTTATATTTATTTTCATCTTTGTATGGTCATGATTTTTCAAATTTAATACTTTATATTTATTTCCACCTTTGTATGGTTATGATTTCCAATATTTAATGCTTTCACTTTAAAAATGGGAAATCATAACCATACAAAGATAGAAATAAATATAACCGTTGAATTAACATAATCGATCTAACGGTGAGATTGATTGATAGTAACATGGTAGTCATAACACAACTTGATTGTTACAATATCTTTTCGCTATAAAATATGTTAAATTTATCCGCCTATTAGCCTATTAAATGTTGGGTTTAATGTTTCTATAATAAATGTAGATAAGTTATTTATATTTGTTCTCAAAATGACATCGTTTTGAGTTGAAAAAATAAAATATTATAATGAAAAAGACCATTATAATCCTGAAATACATTATAAATACAAAAATAACGTGATTTTCACCTCAAAACGATATCATTTTGATCTTAATGTAAATAAATTATCTGCATTGAAGGTAAAAAAAAGCAAACCCCTCAATATTTGATTTTTAGGTTAGGTTTTTCATAATTGGCCTGTGGTCTTGTTTTTAAATAGACTTCTCTGCAAGCCTAAAGCAGTTCTAATTTTCTAATAGTCTAGGCCTAACATAGGTCAAGGATCACTGTAAATCAATTTGACTCATTTACACCCGTTATGGCCAATATACCTAAACAAGAAGCACGTCCTCTCATCTCAACCAATAATTATTCGTTAAAACGAGTTTAAATATTGGGAATGAAAAAAAAATGTTGAGAAAGCTATTCTGAAACAGTTTATATACAAATAGAAATGATAATAAGAGAATAAATTAAAATAAAAGTGAGATTATTTCACACAATCTGACCATTTATGTCATCATTCTGTAAATATCTTTTTTATGCCTTTTATTTGATATCATAAATATCTTTTTTCATATATTTTTTATAATTTTTTGTGCTTAATATATCGGCAATTAAATTATTTTTTTTAACAATTGACATTTGTTACACTACTTACACAATTTGTGTAAAAATATTTTTCTATTTAAGATTAAAATATTTTTTAATTTCTATATATACTATACTTATATTTTAATTTGATCTTTACATAATAGTTTTTTAATTTATTCACTATTAAGATTATTTTTAATTGTCATCGTCATCTATTAATACATACCATTTGTGGAGTAAATTCGATTTATTAATTATCCGATTATTTTAACAATATAGTTTTTCCTGTCAAATTTTTAAATATAATTATATATTTAAGACTTATATTCAAAATTATTAATTAAATTAAAATAATTATTTATTAATTGATCCATTGTAACTACTCTAACTATTGAAGCTTGCTTGGATTTGTGTGATTAAACTACCGCTTTTGGTTGGACCAATAGTGAAAGCTGGATTTCAAACGAGCATCCAAGCATTGTCATACTTCTCCGTTCTTGCTAATCAATCAATTGATGAGGCCTAATTTTGAGTTTTCAAGTGTATAAAGTCCTAGGAGCAAATCACAATTCAACCCTTCTTATTTTATATGCATTTTCAGGTAACTGGGAGTAGGGGTGTTCATCAATTGATCAAAACAGCGGTGACTGAACAGAAAAATCGATAACCGAATAAATCGAAAATTGAAAAATCAAAAAAAAATTGCAAATTTTAATTGGATTGGATCGGTTTTCGGATTGGTAGATAAAAACTGATCCAACATATTAATTTCTCTCTACCTACTTGTGTTTTTTCCCAATCATAATCCAAAAATTTCTAAACCTAAGACTCATTAACCTATCAACTAAACCCAAGAAAAAAACCTAGTCACATCTTATCAATAAAATTTCATCTATGTAAAGGTTCATATCTCATTTTCCAAAAAAAAAAAAAAAAAACTATATTATCGTTTACTGATATTTTTGTATTTTAAAAAAATAAAATTACAAAGCCAATATATACAAAAGATGTTATTTGCACAATAATCATGAAACAAATTTTAGGATTTTCAAAAAACTGAAAACCGATCCAATCCAAACTGAAAAAAATTGGATTGGATCTGATCGGATTTGCACAAAAATCCAAACTGAATGGATGATTACATGATCAAACTGAAGGAATTGAATCGGATGATTTTTGCTTTCAAAATCGATCCAATCCAGACCGCGAACACCCCTAAGAGAGAGCGGATCAATTTCTAGTTTTTACATAATATGATTTTCTGTGCGTATATGCCAAGATAAAAAAACCTAGCATCAGTTGATATTTGTAGTGTAATTGATGATTAATTAATATTAATTAATTCATATGACATCTTAAATTATAACCGTTGAATGCACGGAAATCAACGGTTGAAATGTGATGTAAGACTTGTTAGTCTTACACCGGTGTAAAAAGAACATGCCCATATATATATATATATATATATATATATATATATAGGGATATGATCAACTTACACCGGTGTAAGAATAATAAATCTTACACCAAATCTTAACCGTTGATTTCCGTGCATCTAATGGTTGAGATTTATTGGGAATTAAAAATTAATTAATGAGTGAGACCTAATAAATCTTAACCGTTAGATGTAGAAAATCAATGATTAAGATTTGGTGTAAGATTTATTATTCTTACACCGGTGTAAGATGATCATGCCCTATATATATATATATATATGGCAGGATATTTTTACACCGGTGTAAGAGTTAGAAGTCTTACACTCAATCTTGACCGTTGATCCACTTGTATCCAATGGTTCACATTACTAAAAAATTTGAGCTGTTAGATATAAGTGGGATCAACAGACAAGATTGAGAATGTAACTTACACTGGTGTGAAATGATCCTGACCATATATATATATATATATATATATATAAGGTAGGATCCTTTAACACCAGTGTCAAATTTGAAATTTGACACCTTATCTGAGAGCCGTTAGATCAAGAAAGATCAACGACTCTGGTTTTTAAGAAATTTGAAATATTCTGACACCTTATATAGGGCAGAATATTTTTATACCGGTGTAAGAGTTAGGAGTCTTACACTCAATCTTGACCATTGATCCACTTGTATCCAATTGTTCACATTACTAAAAAATTTGAGCCCTTTGATATAAGTGGGATTAACGGACAAGATTAAGATTGTAACTTACACTGATGTAAAAAGAACATGCCCCTATATATATATATATATATATATATATATATGAGACAAGATATTCTTACACTGATGTAAGACTTAGAAGTCTTACACTCAATCTTGACCATTGATCCACTTGTATCCAATGGTTTACATTACTAAAAAATTAGAGTCGTTAGATATAAGTGGGATCAACAAACAAGATTGAGAATGTAACTTACACTGGTGTAAAATGATCTTGACCTTATATATATAGAGAGAGAGAGAAAGAGAGAGAGGTAGGATCATTTGACACCTCACCTAAGAGCCATTAGATCAAAAAAGATCAACGGGTCTGATTTGTAAGCATATGACACCATTGATCTTTTTTGATCTAACGGCTATAAGATGAGGTGTCAAAGGATCCTACCTCTATATATATATATATATAGAGGTAAGATCTTTTGACATCGGTGTCAAATTTGAAATTTGATACCTCATCTGAGAGCCGTTAGATAAAAAAAATATCAACGACTCTGATTTGTAAGCATGTGACTCCATTGATCTTTTTTTATCTAACGGCTATAAAATGAGGTGTCAAAGGATCCTACCTCATATATATATATATATATATATATATATATATATATATATATATGGGTTAAGATCATTTTACACCAGTGTAAGTTACACTCTCAATCTTGATCGTTGATCCTATTTATATCTAAGGGCTCTAATTTTTTAGTAATGTGAGCCATTGAATACAAGTGGATCAATGGTCAAGATTGAGTGTAAGACTTCTAATTCTTACATCGGTGTAAGAATATCCTACCCCTATATATATATATAGAGAGAGAGGTAGGATCCTTTGACACCAGTGTCAAAATTTAAATTTGACACCTCATCTGAGAGCCGTTAGATCAAAAAAGATCAACGACTCTGATTTGTAAGAATGTGATACCATTGATCTTTTTTTATCTAACGGCTATCAGATGAGGCGTCAAATTTGAATTTTGACACTGGTGTCAAATGATCCTACCTTATATATATATATATATATATATATATATATATATATATAAAGGGCAAGTTCTTTTTACACCCGTGTAAGACTAACAAGTCTTCCACTACATCTCAACCGTTGATGGACGGAAATCATCAGTGGGTATTTGTAGAGTAATTAATGATTAATTAATATTAATTAATTCGTATGACTTCTTAAATTACAACGTTGGATGTACGGAAATCAACTATTGAGATGTGGTGTAAGACTTATTAATTTTATACCGGTGTAAAATGATCTGATCCATATGTATATATATATATATATATATATATATATATATATATTATTTTTTTATTGCGCTAATTGTGAGTACACCCATATCATGAAACAAGTATAAAAAAAGGTAGCTCCATTGGTGGTAAAAAAATTAAGCAAGTGAAAAAGAATGGGTCTCAGTTTGATCATGTGCAATACCCAGCTCAAAAAGTAGAAATTTTTGTGGGAATAACTGGGGAGCAAACGTCAAACTAGACAAACTTTTGAATTATTTGTTCTAAAAATTTGTCATTCATTGAAGGAAAAAAAAAGTCAAAGTAAAATTGTGCGATACAGCAACCCTTCTCCAATTTATTACCACTAATTAATAAACCCTAATCCATCAATTTCCCACAAACATAAAAAAAAAAAAAAAAATTACATCATAAGATTGTGTTCAAACAAGGAAAGAAGCAATGCGATTGATCATATTTTTAGAGTTCTCAGTCTCAGGATGGTAGATTTGGAAGCAATGTTCCTCTCCTTCGACATGAATGAGTTCCACCTCACCTTGCCACCCACTTTTCTTAACAGCATCATAATACCAAATTCCTCTGTCTCTAAGGTCATCATTGCCTGCAACAAAAATCAGCATCTTGGGGCACCCAAGGGTAGCCAAACTAGGAGCCCCATGAGCCAAAGGGTTGATCAATGGGTTATCTATGCCACCTGGTGCATCTGGGTACACAAAGTTCCACACCTGCATGGGTGAACTCTGTTCATGCCCCTCAACAGGTTCTGACAAAACTGGCTTAGAACTCCAAAACAATGGAAAAGCAAGGAGTGCACCCGCTATTTTCACATCCCCAGGAAAAGTCTCAACCCCACCACCAACACGAAGAGCTATGTTATTTGCAATATTAGCACCTGCAGTGTCACCTCCTATGTAAAACCTGTTGAAATCACCATGCTTGATCAACCATGGCTCACTGTTTGTGGGGTTATTGGTGGAATGGGATGTCACCCATTTGAAAGCATCCCAACCATCTTCATATGCTGCAGGAAGAGGGTGTTCTGGTGCGAGCCTATACTCCACAGAAACCACTAGAACATTTGCTTGTGAAGCTACTATGTTAAGGTAGCGTTGGTGGAGGAAGGAGAATGCAGATTCAAGGCAAAACGCGCCACCATGATAGTAGACCAAGATTGGAAGCTTTTGGCTCTGAGGGTTGCTCAATTTTGGAAGATAAACGCGAGCTTTGATGGAAGGGTTTACTGAGATGACTATGTCTTTGGATGCGACCCCTGTGTCAGGATCTTCAAGGGAGGGTTGCACAAAGGAAGAGCCAAGAAAACGTTCCACAGTTCCATCCTTGTAGACACACAGAAGAGGGGGAAGCTCTCTGTCTATCTCTTTGGAGGTTGTTGCTGAGGTTGCAGAAGCCATTGAATTAAGGAAAATAATAGAAAAAGAGAGTGAAGGAGGAGTGAACCAAGGAGGAAGGTGGAAAAAGACTAGCCTCTGTTGTTGATTTAATAGTCAGATACCAATGAGAGAGTCAAATAGGACAAGCTAATGACTTACAATATGGTCAAATTCGTCACCTCAATAAGGACAAAACCTGGTTGCCTCCTCGTGCCGCTCTACCTACCCAATATCAGCGTATAATAATAATTATAATCACACTAGTAGGATATTCATACTACCAAATTTTTTTACTACTACTTTAATTACTATTGGATTAGAGAAAAAGTTGAATGAAGAGAGAAAAAAAAAACAACTTTTGAATCCAATGGTGATTAAAGTGGTAGTGAAGTGATAATAGAAAAATTTGGTAGTATGAATATTCTATCTCTAAAACTAAATATATCTTTAAGTCTCTCAATTGATGATGGGATGTGAAAATAATTATTTCATAAATAAAATCCAAGAGATTCTTAGGTTTTTTGCATTTAACGGAGATGGACCGGCATATACTTGGCATTAAATTTGATCTTATAATATCCAATGAATTCCTAAGAATAGTGAAGACATGAATAAAAATAGATGGCATATTAATATAGAAAATGTTTCTTCTACATCAACAATTTTCCATGTACTCTCACAAAAGAAAATTGAGACATTAATGTCGGGGGAAAAAATGAAAAAGAAATAGAAGCAAGTAGTTGTGATGTTATCTATGAGATTTGTGAAAAAAAATTGTGTATGTACTATATTTGTATTAATATTGATTTAACACAACAGATATTATTGTCACTTGGCAGAACTGTTTTGGGGATGCACATTAGAATATATTTTTCTACAAAATCCAACGGAAGAGTTGAGGGTAGGTGGATATGGATGCTTTCCTACTCAACTGAAGGCCTAAAATGGAGGCGGCATCACATGCGTACTTAACATGGTGACCTTACCTTACCTATAGAGTATAGACGAGCTTATCAATTATCATGAATCATAGAAATAGAATGACAGTACATATGATGAAGAACGTTCATTATTGTGGTACCAAATGAAATTTTCAGTTTTCATCATTTTTAGTTAAATTGTAATTATCAAAATGAAGAGGTGAAAAGATTAATTTTTCTTTATTTAAGTACCCATTCAAGATTAATAAATCAGATAAATGAAGAATAGATTCATTGCTTGTGTTGGATCCTCATATTGTGGCTGTTCCTCATCAACTTGTTCAGAAGCAGGACTAGATTTTTTATTTTATTTTTTTCCTTTGCGAGGCAACCTTACATGGTGAGTCCCCTTCTCCATCTTGAAAAGTTGATGAGAGAGTACCCTGAATAAGAAAAGTTGGGTAGGCCTGATGCTTATTTGAAAAAGGTTGAAGTACCAAAAATGAGTTATGCATATATGTCTCAAGGCCCAAAGTATTGGAGGCCTTGCTCATGTCACAAAATCATACAGTTTGTTGTAATTACCATGTAAATAGTAGGCCCAGAGTACTATATCATTTTATACATTTATTCCAATTCAAGACCAGAACAAAAGGACCAAAGAGCCATCACATTTCAGAACAACCGAGGGGAGGGGACACAGGTTCAATGTAATTTTCGAATAACCGAACCGAATTTTAACCACAAAAAATAACATACAATTTTTTTAGATGAGAGATTTATTCGCAAACTAGTACAACAGGACAAATGAAGCGAAGACAATTGTTCTACTCATCATGGAGAAACGAAGCCAAGCGTTGGATCAATTTCTTGGCATTGTCAGATTCTGTATGAAAGATATGATAAACATGATCCTCTTCTTTCTCTTCAAACAGTTCCAATTTCCCTTGCCAACCACTCTTCTTCACAGCCTCATAATACCAAACCCCTCTGTCCCTTAAACCATCCTTGCCAGCAACACACACAATAATCTTGGAACACCCAAGTCCAGCCAAACTAGGTGCCCCTGGAGCTACAGGGTTGACCATGGGGTTATCAATACCACCAGGCGCAGATGGGTACACCAATTTCCAAACCACATAGGCAAGTTTCTGCTCATGATCTACAACAGGTTCAGATCCAATTGGGTATGAACTGTAGAAATAAGGCTGCGAAAAAATAGCTCCAAATACTTTAACATCACCAGGTAAAGCCTCAGTGCCAGCACGCATGGCTATGTTATGCACAATATTACCACCAGCACTGTCACCCCCAATGGAAACTCTGTTAAAATCACCATGATTAATCAACCATGACTCTGCTTTGGTTGAGACCCATTGGAGTGCGACCCAGCAATCATGGTAACATGCAGGGAGAAGGTGTTCTGGAGCCAGTCTGTACTCAACAGAAACAACTATAACATTTGTTTTGAGAACAAAGGAGTTGAAATGGTCATGGTAAAGCTGGGAGAAAGCGGATTCAAAGAAGAAACCACCACCATGAAAGTAGACCAAGATTGGAACTTTCTCATTTGATGAAGTGAGTTTTGGAAGGTAAAGGCGAGCTGAGATTGTGGGGTTGTGTGAGATGATAATGTCTTTGGATGAGACTCCTGTTTGTGGGTCATCAAGTAACGCTGGCTTGAATGGTGTTTGTCGCGGCCGTTCCACGGTCCCATCTTTGAAGACTCGGATATATGAAGGAATCTCTGCTACAACTTCTTTTGTGTTGGTGGAAGCCATTTTTTCAATTCAAGGACACAGAAAATATAACTTGAAAACTGTGGAGTGGGCTTTTAAGAGAACATGTACAGCAATTATTATCATTATTATTATTTTTATATATCTTGTGAGAATTGAATACACAATCTAATATAACCTACCCAAATCTCACAACGTTAAACTACTCCTGGAGCAATTATTTTATTGCTACAAAACAAGTACAACGGCTGCCTCAAGAGTGAAGGGACAAAACAACCCCACATGGTGCAAATGGATGCAGATATCTTCTCGTTTCAAAAAGTACTAATCCCTAGGAGAACACTTGGCGTGGATCTTCTCTGATTTTAACGCCGTGGAACAGTGAATCTTATGTGAAAAAATAATTATATTATTCAATAAGATAAGAAAGAGAAAAATATATAATATTTAAATAAATAATTATGATCAAATAATATAACCACAAGACCAATTTTCTATTTCCCAATATAATAGTTGTTTTAATTACTTAATTGTAAGTCAAATAATTGGTTGAGTTTTCTGATATGACATATTCATGTTTAAATCAGACATAAAATAAAAATGATTGCTTTTTTTATATGATATATCCGTGCTAAAATCAGATTCATCGTCTTATCAAAATGTTAGTGATTGAGACTGGTTGTTGAATAAATTCAAATGATGCGAAATTTCTACGGAGATATCTATAAATTTTTTATTTATAAATTACATTATGTAATTTTAGAAGTATATTAAATTACATTATGTATTTTTGGGAGTACATAATATAATTTATAAAAATTTGTAAAAAAAAATTATAAACAGATTTTTTTCATATATATATATATAAGAAGAGTTACGTTTACAATTTTTTTTGTTTCCAACTCTTATAACCTCAACTATGTTCTTCCGGGTGTACACTCTCCAGTAGTGCACTCCCAGGAGAACATAGTTGAGGTCATAAGAGTTGTAAACAAAAAAGTTATAAACGTAACCTACCCCTATATATATATATATATATATATATATATATATATATATATATATATATATATATATATATATATATATATAAGGATAGGTTATTCTACCTACTTTTGTCTACCACTCTTCAACACCGTTAGATCATAATCTAAAGATGAGAGAGAAAAATAAATATTAATTAAGATTCTGATCTAATGGTTTTTTAGGGCGGTAGGCAAAGGTAGTAAAAAAAATAGGTAGAATAACATCTCCCATATATATATATATATATATATATATATATATATATATATATATATATATATATATATCCACTCGTTTATTGATTATTTAATTAATACAATTTTAATTTTGTGGGTTGAGCTGGTCTACAGGGGCCTACGACCTAGTCTATATCAGCCGAGCTTGGCCTATTATATATAGTCAAATAGAACATGTTCGAATTTTTAAAGAAGCATATTTAGAAAGTAGGTGATAAGCTTTTTTTTTACATATTAGGCCTATAAGCTACAGGTCGGCCTATATCATATTATTTATTTTAAATTAAATAAAATAATATTATTCATAGTAGTATCAAATGGTGATAGTTCAGTTGGTGCATGTGAACTAAGTAGGTGGTGGGAAGACTTAGGTTTGTTCCCTCACCAATATTATTTTTGATAGTGGCATAAGATCTGTACCAATCTCTACAGTAGAATCAGAATCAACATCTAGTATTGGAGGAAGAGTTATTGATGCCTATCGTTTTAGCTTAGCTGAAAATACCATCCAAGCTTTAATATACGGTGGAGATTGGCTATGTAATAGGTATGACTTGAAGAAAAAGCAAAAGGTATAAATTCAATCAATTGAAATTATTTTCTAATTTCATTATATTCGATTAAATTTTAATAGAAATTTGACTTTATTTTTTATGTATGAGGAACCAATATCTCAACATAGTAGATTGCCTATATTAATCTATTAAAATATTTTTTGTTTCTAAATCTTATCTTTTTTGTTTCTATTATTTTTTCTTTTTTTTTTTGTTTTACATTTACATATTGTTTGCCAACTTATATAATCTTGGAATTGTATTTTGTATAGGAGAGAAGATAAAGAGAAATTTTTGGCTACTACAAGTATCATGATGTGTTTGTTGGATTCATGTAGTTATCTAAATTGGAAAAATATTTCTCCCGCCACTAAAAATAAAGTTATCTCCATATTCCAGTAAGCTCAAAAAGACGTCGTTTTGGGGATTTTATAAGATTAAAAAATTATAATGATAAAGATTAATATAACCCTGCAATATATTAAAATTACAAAAACACTTTGATTTTTTCTCAAAACAACATCGTTTTGGTTTCACCGAAGATAATTTATTACCATTGACTGGAGAAATCTTTTACCTTATTTTAATTTACATAGTATAGATTTATTTGTTGGATATAATGAAATATATGTTATTTAGTTTGAGCATTTTGCTTTTGAAAGTGACTTAAATGCAAATTGCGATGAGTTTTGTTGTGATTCATGATTCTATTTGAATGTTGAAATTGTGATTTTTGCTTTACCAACAGAATTTGAATATTTTGTGAAGTTAATTTATGGTTTTGTTTGGAAGTTAAAAATTAAAAGGTTAACAGACCAAGCCAGACCATTAATTTTTTTTTATAAACGAGTTAAGTCATGCTAACAGTTAGACTAGTATTAGGTTCGGGTCAGGCCAAATTAAAAAAATTTGATATTGACTTGAGTTTTTTGAGACAAAGCTCGATCTAGCCCAACCCACTTTCCCTCCTAATTATGGGTGAATTTCAAATAACTGACTGAACCTGTGATGTTTTATGCCACATCATTTGTGTTGTATTAATTTCTTGCATTGAATAGTGGCGGCGAGGATGATAAGAAGGAGGAAAAAAATTGTGAAACAGTCTAGGTATATCCATATTAAAAAAGAAAAATTTTATGAACTTATAAGGAATTATAAAAAAAATGTTTAATATTTATCTTTTTAAAAGATAAAAAATTGTGTCATTTTAAGTGAGAAAAAATATGCAATGAAAATTATGGAGAAGAAAGTGAGTTATTTTTTAATTTAAATTTTAAATAAAAAATATCAATTTATATCTTTCTCTTATAATTTAATTTAAATTAAAAAATATTAATTTATATATTTCTCTTATATTAAATTATACAATTTTATATTATTTAAAAAGACAAATATTTTTTTAAAAAAATATAGATAAATATGAAAAAAATAAAAAGCCGTGTCATTAAAAAAATTCCGATAAGAAGGACCAGAGGTTGATAAATTTTTGAAGAGACAATTTATATCTATTATGTGAAGATAAATGAAAGAGAGAGCAAAATCTTCACGCATTTCAAAATACTCTCAAGTTTTGCATAATAAAAAAAAAAAACATTTGAGCACGAAACATATCTAATATTTATTCTTACATTTAATTATTATAAATAATATCCTTATTTCTCACTTTTATAATTTGGGTTATTTTTCATAAGAAATTTAAATACACATTGATAGAGATTTGTGAAAGATTCCAAGTATTTTGAATAGTTTAAGCTGGTATCAAAGCATAATAAGATATGGATTTTTTTGAGTAGAGTATATACCTTGGTGAAAAAATAAAATGTTGTCATAAATTAGTTGCGCAACATGTAATAGGCTGTGGTTGGCGAGAAGATTTTTAGTGGACCGGGACTATGGTGGTCCCTTTCAAAATAGGAAAAAAGGATAGACGTAGGGGGAAATAATAAAAAAGAAAAGGATAAAAATGGAAGAAAATTTTTCATTTATAGTAAAGGGACCACTGAATAAATGATGGACCTGGAGCATATTAAATTTTTTCATGGTTGGCATGCATCATCATGGGTAATGTTATAATAATAATAATAATAACAATATATTATAATTAAAATATTAAAAAAATGGGCCCATCGTCGAAGTAGACCACTTATTAGTTATTATGTTAATATTTTGTTAAAATATTTTAAAATATGAAATAGGTTATTCTACCTACCATTATTTTTGCCTATCATCCTCTAACACCGTTAGATCAGAATCTCAAGAAGAAAAAGAAAGATAACCCTACCTCTGCCTATCTGCTGCTGTCGTACCATTAGTGCTGTCGTGAGTCTCGTGACCACCCCCACCACCACGATGCCACTGCCACCATCGCCACCAACTCCATCCATCACTACCACCATGTCACCTTCACCACCACCACAACTACCACTGCTGCAACCACTACCACCACTATCACTGTCACCGTCACTACCGCCATCAACCACCACCACCATTATCGCAACCACTGCCGCCACCGCCACTATCATCATCACCACACCACTGCCACCACCACCACCATCGCCACCACGACACCACCACTACCATCACCACAACTGTCACCAACCACCACTATCATTGTTGCAGCCACTACCGTCACCGCGCCACCAACCACCACCACCATTACACCATCCCTGCCCACTACCACCACCGCCACCGCCACCATCACTGTCACCTACCACCACCACCACCGTAGCCACTGCCACCACCACCACCATGATGTCATCACAACCACCACCACCATCTCACCGTTATCATTGTCGCCGCCACCAATGCCACCAACCACATACACCACCATCCCCACCACCATTGTCGCAGCCACTGCCATCACAACCACCACCACTATTTTCATCACGTCACTGCCACCACCACCACCGTACTGTCGTCGACGCCTCCGCCACCATGTCACCCCCTGCCACCACCACCACCACCACCACCACAACCACACCATATGGAAAGGAAAGTGATGATCCAATTTTTTTTATATTTAATAGGAATTATTTTTTATTATATTATTTGTTGTGTAATCAAACACAATTATCATTCTCAGGGCCTGTTTGATGGACAGGATAGGATAAGGACGAATAGGATAAGGGTGGGATATGATATAGGCATGATAAGCTCATATCCTATCCTGTGTTTGATGTGCACTGGATAAGCTATCTGATAGGACAATAGTATCCTATCCGTTGTT